GGAGCAAAATCCTTCATCCTCCGTCTATAGCGCATTGTGATTGGATGTTTACGATGTCAATACAGGAGACAAACCAATGGGCCACTGGCTGCTCGCTGTCCGTGCGTGATGGTCATCGGCAAAAAAAAAACTTCTGTCGGCCCACCGGGAAAATAACCGGTATGCCCGATTACCAATCCAGCCCTGCTGTCAAAGAATGACTAAACCTCGAGCCAATAGCCTTCGAGTATGAGATGTGACGGAGCATGTGATTTGTTGAATGTAGTGAACGAATACGCCCTTCACTGCAGTGGCGATAATGCTCCTAAGGAGTTATTCGCCATAAAACAAGAAGAAGAAGAAGAAGCCCTTCACTGACCGAGTTTCTTTCGAGTCTGAATGAGAGAGATCTTCTCGTTCGTGAACGAAATGACCGAACTGGTACATGTCGTTCGTGAACGAGTTGAAAAGCGGTTCTCAATTCCAGTCTTAGCATACCCCTGCTCTGCATATTTTGTATGTTTCTCTTATTGCTTCAGACGTTTGTTATATTTGACTGTAAGTGCCCTGCGAAGTGGACATTACCGGATATTCCGCCATGATTCCAGTTTGAATGGAGCGTATATGTTCCATACAAAGGGCATTTAAGTGTGCGAGACGTGAATTTAAATTGTATTTATTTACAGAGGTATATTATGTCTCACTTCACGCTTCACGTATGTGTGTGAAGACGCTGCAGGCAGCGGCGCAGCGCAAATCTTTAAATGAATATTCCGAAGTGAAGTAAACTTCAACGGATTTCCCCTGCTCCGGGAGTAGGGGACAATGGACACTGTGTAGGGACCATGTCAATCGGAACACACCATACAAAGGGCATTTAAGTGTGCGAGACGTGAATTTAAATTGTATTTATTTACAGAGGTATATTATGTCTCACTTCACGCTTCACGTATGTGTGTGAAGACGCTGCAGGCAGCGGCGCAGCGCAAATCTGTAAATGAATATTCCGAAGTGAAGTAAACTTCAACGGATTTCCCCTGCTAATGGGAGCAATGGACACTGTGTAGGGAGCATGTCAATCGGAACACCATTCATGCACGGAGCTCACTTCTAACGAGATGATGATCTGAATCAGGTGTGTTAACAAAGTGGTTGCATACTGTCCCGAATCAAAAAAGTCCAGCCCTAAGTCTCTATGATACTCTTCTCTCTAGATAAAGAGAGACATGCAAAACATGCAGAGCGAGGGTACGCGAGGACTGGAATTGAGAACCGCTGAACTGGTACATCTCGTTCGTGAATGAAATGACCGAACTGGTACATCTTGTTCGTGAATGAAATGACTGAACTGGTAAATGTCCTTCGTGAACGAGTTGAATGAACTGGTACATCTCGTTCGTGAATGAAATGACTGAACTGGTACATCTCGTTCGTGAACGAAATGAATGAGAGTGTACCGGGTCCAGTCGGCCATTAAGCATGTCAATCTCGATCAGCAATCGGCAGAAAGCGGATGCAAAGCGCAGTTATAGGTACTGTGCAAATAAACTTGTTTATATATTCATATTTGGCATACAGAACATAACTCAACGTTTAATCCCCGATTTATGAATGTGTAAATGTCTGACCAAACAATGAAAATGTTAATTATGCAAGAAAACCCTGTGCTTTGGTCATCTGAACAACTTATTTAGACTTTATTTATTTAATGAGTAGATTATGCACACATTTTAATAAAGCCAAATCAGTTTTTTGTAATAAGTAAATACGTGCGTTGACTTAAAGTGGTCATATGATGCGATTTAAATTTTTCCTTTCTCTTTAGAGTGTTACAAGCTCTTGGTGCATAAAGAAGATCTGTAAAGTTGCAAAGACTAAAGTCTCAAATCCAAAGAGATATTCTTTATAAAAGTTGAGTCAGCCACGCCTACCTAAAACGGCTGGTTCTAACACGCCCCCACATATCTACGTCGCTATTTGGGAAGATTTGCATAACACCGCCCAAATGTTCACGCAAAGAAAGAAGGCTAACTTTTATTCTCGCTGTAGTTTTGTTGTTTCCGCCTCCATGTCGTGTGTGTTCTGTTCTTTTTAGCAGCATCATATGACCCCTTTAAGACATAACACATAAGACACTCTTTTTCGCCACCTGCTGGCGTATTTATGTAATATGAAGAAATGGTCACTGAACGAATCAGTGAACGAATCTGAACGAATCATTTTCATTTCCGTGACCTCTCGCGCGATCTTGGCAAAAAGTCTCACGATTTATTTCCGGAACATGATGCATGATGGGATACACTAACCCTCGAATACCGCTCCTTGGACAAGGGGATTGGCTTGGCGGAAGTCAAGTGTTTGACCTTTGCTCTCGTGCTTCTCATCTCTTCGACGTTACAAAAGCGCGTTCAACTTCAAATCAGAGTTAGTGAAACTTTTTAAACGCCTCGAGACTTTGTCCCCCCCCCCCATTTTACTGCGCTGTGTCTCACATTTTTAAACGCGGTTTTTTTTAACTATGTAAGTTACTAAAGCCATTTAATTTTGCAATGTTAAACATGAAAAACGATCTGCGTCCCTTTTTACAAACGGAATCAAACTATAAACACAACTCGGTGTTACGTTAAGCGTTTTCTCCACCACAGACCACCGTTATTGATACTTATCAGCTAATTTACATATAGTAGCCCATTCGTGATGAATAAGGGGCAAACGGCATTTGAAAATACAACCGCTCATTGTAAGTTAATTTTAGATCAGTTCCACGCAACTTTAATGTGTGTAAATGTTGAAACTTAACATTTACTAAGATTAATAAATCATTTAGTTTTTTAACTGTTAATTTTAATGTGGTTAACTAACGTTACGAAACTGAACCTTATTGTAAAGTCTGAGGAAGAAATCAAGTAATGAAACGCCATCTTTGTGGCAGCAGATGTTTGTGATAGAAAAAAATAATCTGTGAGAGAATTCTGGTTCTCCGTGCTAATTTTTTGTACATTAACCGTAAGATGTGTGTTAGTGTTAGTGTTAGTCCTAAACTGTAGTGTGCTGCCTTCCTGGTTAGTTCAACCATGCGGTTTGCTTACCTGCCATCTCTGTCTCTCTCGCTCCTCTGTAGTGACCGTGAGATGCCAATCCGTCCTGTGACTTGTAGGTTGTCTGCCCTGATTAAATCAGGAGGTGTATTTTAACACATTTGATCAGAAAACAGAGAAAGGAGGGGAGGATCTGTAAATGACTTGAATTTGGCCTGTGGGGTGGGAAAAAGGAGTGGGATGCTTAAAGTTCAGATTTCTTCAGAATGCATAAGGCTGACAAACATCCCTTGACCACTGATGGTGCCGACAATAGATACTGTACCATATGCATACAACTGTAGTTTAAAAACAAAACGAGCTGATTATTCAATGAATCAAAATCTAAAAACTGAAGACTCACATCATAAGTAATAATAGCTGACTAATTGTGCAGCAAGTCAGATAAAACTCTGTTATTTTTTATTGACATTTATACAAAAATACAGTTTTTCAGTCTGTTTAAAGGGACTAGTTGATAAAAGTAGCAGGAATAGTAGATAAAATTGCAGCCAGCAGATGTGGACAATTCCATCAAGGAATTTTCTCAGCACATAGTGTCCTTGAATTAAGAATGCGGCTCTGAAAGACACAAACATGCCAAAAATATGTCAACAGTCTAACAAAGACTACAGATACGATATGTCCAAATGTAATACATAACTTGAATTCCTGCAATGAATTCCTGAAGCCAAAATTACCTGTTTCTCTTCAGGCGTTAACAGCCCTTCTACAGCAACCACTTGATACTGTCTGTGTTTTAGGCTACCGGGGAATTTGCGCACACGTCGTACCATGGTAGCTGCTGTATCCTGTGACAGCACCTTCCTCATTTCCCTTGGTACACACCCCGGATCGAAGAGGAGCAGGCATAGGTTGCCATTTACTTTCTGTTCCACTCCTACTATAGAGCGACTGTGGCCTAATCATAAAGACAGGATAACACGTATGTCATCTTATAAAGGCAAGTCTGTTTCTATGAGGATAATGCTATCTTGAATGTCACGAGGGAGAATAAATTCACTCTATTTTAATTAAAGGGCTGTTGTTTTTTTACAAGAGAAATCTTGAAATACCTTGGTGCTGGAGGTGTATAGGTGGTAATGTCGTCTGCACTATTTTGGGTGGCAGTCTTGCACCCCTACTGGCAGAATGTGAGAAACACTGTTTCACCCACTCAAACAGTCTGGGGTGTGTGTCTCCTGGGCCAGTGGGCTTGTGAAAATCCATAATTTGGGCTCTAAAAATTTTTATGTAAAGTTAAGATGTGAAATTAATAATATTTAAGCTATTTACATGTTTGCAACTATTCAAAAGTTTGAGGTTGGTTTGATTTTTTTTTTATGTTTTTGAAAGAAATCTCTCACCAACGCTACATTTATTTGATCAAAAATACAGTAAAATATTATTGCAATTTTTTTTTCTAGTTAAAATAACTGTTTTCTATTTTAATATTTTTTAAATGTAATTTATCCCTGTGATGGCAAAGCTGAATTTGCACAAGCACAAATCATTCTGATGTGATGCTGTGGTGCTCATGAAAAACTTCTTATTGTTCCCAATGTTGTGCTACTTAATATTTAATTAGAGAAAGCCTCGATACATGTTTTCAGGAGTCTTTGATGAGCAGAAAATTTACATATATTTATCTTTCTGACCCCAAACCTTTGAACAGTAGTGTGTGAATGTAAACTTGGGGTTTCAGTACGTACTTCACACTAAGGGAGGTGAGAACTGCATAGATTTCTGTAGCTCCTATCCAAGCCCGTGTCCCCTGCAGTCGATGGTTGAAGTGTGAAGCACCCTGAGGATCAGCACCTTGACCCCAAGCCTCCTCAATTAAGGCTTGCACTCTCGGAATGCTGGGAACTGAAACTGCGAGGGAAAATTTTATGATGGGTACTGTTACAAAGAAAATCAACATGCAGCCAAGAGAATAACATGATGTTACTGATGTTATACCAGGTAAAAGTTTATACTGCTCCATCCTATGCAAAGATGAAAGAAGCATCTGGAAGTTTCTGTAGCCACATCCCCAACCTTTGTCCCCCTCCGATGAGGAGTAGTGATCAGTCTCAGCACAGAGCCACACATGTGCAGTCAGAGGCGTCCCTCTGATAGTACCTATACAGAGCTCCCATAAGTCCTGAAATAGAAAGATTAAAGGCTGATTTATACTTCTGCGTCGGACCTACGCCGTAGCTTACGCATAGACGCACACCCATACGCCGTAGCCTGACGTGCACCTCTCCAAAAATCTAACAGCGCGTCAA